TTCCCTACTGATTCTCATACATAAGATTTTTTTGGTTGTACCTAAATTCTTCATTTCAATCTCCTTTGATAATTGCTTTGTAAGTCATTCATTTTTTCCATATATGCTCCTACAATCAGCATGTTATTCACATACAAAATAAATACAATGTAATAATTAACAAAATATTTAACGAGACAACAGTGATATGTTCGATATTTTGTGTACTCACTGTCTAACATAAACTTATCAAATCTCTTGTACAATTGCCTTGGTGTCCGCTTCAAACCATAAGCATTTTTTGTCAGTCTACAAATCATGCTTTCTTTTTCTAAAATTTTATATCCCTGTGGTTGCATCATGTGCAGTTCTTCTAAGTCACAATGTAAGAAGGATGTCTTCATATCCATCTGCTTTAGATGCTAATTTTTCACCGCTAATAGGCTCAAAACAACCATGATAGCTGTCATCTTTAGTATAAGAGAGTAGATCTCATTGCAGCCAACTTTTTTTTGCTAAAATCCCTTCATAACAATTCTTGCTTTGCAGCGCTTGCTAACATCTAATTATTTTTTCATCCTTAAAACTACATGTTGTGCAATGCCTTTTTGTTATTTAGTTCTATCAATTCTCATGTTTGATCTGACATCAATGAATGCATTTAATGATCCATGATAAACTCCTCATCAACTTCAATGACCTCATCATAACACTTTGATTCAGTATTTCTAATCATTAATAGGTATTGCAATGTAGGAGAATACCTTTGTGTCGGTTGTGAGATTCTATTGAACATTTTGATTTCAATAACAAGTGTCTGAGGAAGTTTTTGTGCTTCATCAGATTGAGCGCATTTCTTTCTCTTGTAGCTGATCACTAGTGTCTTCTATCAACAATTTGGAGGTGTATTCAGAAGTAACCAGTGGAGGATCTTGAGTTTTATTTCTGTTCTTGTACATTTTCATTTCATTCAAAGTGACATCCATGTTCCTAATGAATTTTATATTATGACAGTCACAACATTTGTAATCAAATTTATCCGAGTCATACCTAACGAAAGCGCACTTGACATATTTTGAATCAAGCTTATCCCTGGATTTTGCATCAATATTAACAAGAATGAACATTCATTGTCATTTTAAGCTTTTTCAGGTAAGCCTTCATTCAAAGATACTGATGAACCATGATTTATCAAATAAACTGCAGTATTCAGTGCTTCTTGCCTCAAAATTGTTTTGGCGAGCCTGCATGAAACCTTATACTTTCGACGCACTTTATGATGATTTTATTTATGCACTCAGTAACACCATTTTGTTGTAGTGTATTTGGAATAGTGAACTCATGTCTGATTCCTTCTGAAGCACGATTACTTTTGAATCTCTGACTATGATACTTACTACCATTATCTGATCTGAGACACTTCATCCTCAAACATATCTCATTCTGAATCATGACTTTCCACTTATAAAATACATCAAACCAATCAGATTTATGTTTCAAGAAATATATTCATAGTTTTTCAATGCACTCATTAATGAAAGTGACAAAATAAAGAGAACATTCAATAAATTGAATTAGAGTAGGATCTCATACATCAGTATTCTCTAACTCCAACTTTTCAGACTTCAACTTTGACCCACTTTTAGAGAAATTAACATTTTTTGTGCTTCCAATAAATAAAATGCTCACAAAAATCTAAGTATATAGACTTTAAACCCTGAAGTTTTTTTTTTTTTGAAATGAGGGACTTCATACATTTCTCACTCATCTGACTAAGCTTGCAGTGGCAAAGACATACTTCCATCTTTATACTAGCTATTCCAATAGATTCATATATCTTATTGATCAAATAAAGGGTACATTTAATATTTTCTCGAGCCATCACCATTGCACCTTTAGTCACCTTCCACGAATCACTTGTGATAGTGGTCACATACCCTGACGTTACAAGCTGACTCATAGAAATCAGATTTTTCTTCAAACATGGAACATGTCTAACTTAATTTAGTTTGCAGATTGATCCATTTGACAACCTGATATCAACATCACCTTTTTCAATAATACTGCTAAACTTGTTTTTTTTTCAAATACATCTTCCCTAGATCACCTTGGGTGTGTTTTTTTAACACCTCTTTGTGAAGGCAAGCATGAAAATAGACACCTGAATCTACTATCCATGATTCAATACTATTTATGGATAAAAAAAGGTAGTCACCTTGGATTTCATTTGAGGAGATATTTTTAGAAAGTTTTCTATCTGGTCCTCCGATAACCTTCTTTGCAGTTTATTTTAAAGTGACCTTCGCTCACTTCCAGCATTCACCTCTATTTTTTTCTCTTCTTGACTTATAACCTCTCCTGGACTTGGAATCTGCCTCTGCTTGTGTTTATTTCTAGATTTCTTTTTCTAGTTTTAATATTCAAAGCAGAATTTGATGTTTCACCGCTCGCCTCATTGTGAACTTTTTCATTGAACACTAATCCAAAATATTATCAAAGTTTAATTTTATATTACCTGCAAAATTAATCACCATATTAACTAGTCCATCCCAATTGTCTGACAATGAAGATAAGAGTAAAAATGCGTTGAACTTATCATTAAACTTGATGTAAAAAAACACAACTGATTTGTCACAGCATTAAAATTATTCATTGTTCAGCTAGTGAGCTATCATTTATCATCTTCATATTGAGCTACCTCTTCAGCAGAAAAATTTTGTTTGAAGCCGAAGACTTCTGATACATTCTTGTCAGTGCAATCATGAGATCAAGGGGAGTCTTCTCATTCACATGTTGAAAGCAACATGTAAGGAAAGTGAAAGTCGGATCAAACCTAGTGTTGTTCAATCAGGCACTTCCCATTCTTCTAAAGCCATCGATTTCGACTTCTTAGTGATTCCATTCAGCAGCAAATATAATTTCTTTTGATATAACAAACCTTCAATTTGCTTTTTCCTAAAATCAAAGTTTGAATCATTGAACTTCTCAACCTTGTATCTCGCTTTGTCGGTCTTTGCTCCCACTCGATCCAAAGATCCTTAGAGAATCCCGTTATGATACCACTTGTTGGCAGAGATGCAAAAATCAATTCAAGATATTCAAAAAGCTGAGAATAGAAACACACAAAATAAGAAATCATATAACAAATAAAGATTACTAAGACAAAATCTGAGAACGGGAGAAAACTACAGAGACACACTACATCGAGAAATTTACTACAAAAAATAAGAAGAATTAACAAATTACACCACATTCAAGCCTCTCTACACTTTTGGAACTCAATAACACTCCTTCCTCTACTTCACACGAGAAATCTCAAAATCCAACTTTAACACATGAAAGCTTGCAACGAAGCCGAAATATAAAAAACCTGAACTGCTTGAATTTAGTTAATGGCGCTGCAACTGGGCGCAACGACGATCCAAAGGGATGCTGCGGGACTACTGCAGTAACGTGTTCTCGGGTTTCTGAACTTGGACTAGGCGCTTCGATGCTCCCCTCCAAATGTTGGGGTGTCATGCTCTCGGCACGATGACATTGGATTCTACATTTGATTAACGAAATTGAGGGCTTTGAGTGCTCCGTTGATTAACACAATCAAGCTTCACATAACGACTAGCAACACTTTTACAAGTTTAGTTTGATTTGAAACTTATTTTGGCTATACCGAATTTCTTGTTTGTGTAGCAAATAACTTGCTCAATTCTCCGACAGCTCAGTATATTTATGAACTTGAGAAGTTCTTTGGCCGCTGAGAATGAAATTTCTCACCACATCTCTGTATTTTTAACCTTAAGGATATTCCGCGAGTCAGAAAATTATTTCATGCAATTTATATTAATTCACAACATTTTTAGCCTGCAATACTGAACTGCAAGCTGATATTGTCTCGTGAGAAGACATGCTGTTGATAATATGTGCAATTTTCCGGATTCGTCATTGTTCTTACGTTGGATTGTTTATCTGACCACTTTTATAGATTCGCTATGCATTTGAGCTATTGACTAATCCATTATGGAAGAGGGATTATGACCTTTTTGCTATTGATGAGCAGCAGGTGAGCTTTTTTTTTTTTATTTTTTAGTAGCCTACATGCATGCTTGTTTAGACTTGTTCTATATAATCATTAAAATCACCAATATCTTTTAAGAGTGTATGCAACACCATCTTTTTCCTGTGCTTTAGCCAGTTATCAATGAGGCCATTAGACAATATGCAGGGCAAGACTACTCAAAAGTCAATCTTCCATTACTAGATGGAACTCCACCTGGTAGGAACCTTAAATGAACGTAGTTTTTTATATTTTTTGGTATACTACTTATTTACATTTTTTTTTATTGCAATGTAATGCAAAAGCTAAATTTTTATCAGACTCAATGGATCAAGATTTAAACATCTTGACATCTGAAGAATTTAAGTCCATCGTTGGAGGATCAAAAGCAGTGTTGATACAGGTATATGATTATTTGCCATATTACGTGTGTTTCATTGTAGTATATTTTAAAATCATTTTTTAAAAATTGGATTTATACTTAATATCTAGAACTTTGTTAACCTTGATATCAAATCCACAACTCAACTCTATGAGGTTTGAGGAAAACAACAAATAACGGATGCAACATTGTTCAAGGCTAGTTCAAGATACATTGATTATGATGAATCTTTTGCCTTTTATATAAAATGGATTGCACTAACACTTTTGTAATGTATAAATTACTTAGAAGGAATGTCCATATCGCTTAAGTCCCATTAAAAAAGTATGAAAAATATAGGTGTGCATGTGAGGTTATGATGTGAAATCTGAAGCACACTTGATAAAATTCACGAGTGAGAATTAATACGGCGAAATAATTGAGATTATTTAAGTTAATTTTTAGTAAATATATATAAATTACATAATTTTTTGTTAGCATATATTTTTTAATATAAATTAAGTTGATTTATAAATATTTATGCTAAATATAGTTTGATAAATATAAATTAAATTTTTTTAGACAGTTCTGTTAATACATATTTATAAATATAAATTAATCTGAAATAAAAAATAATCAAATAAAAAAGTCAATTTTTTGCTTTGTTGCTATTGTTATTATTATCTAATTAAAAAATAGATTTCAAAAATAAAATTTAAATTCCTTTTACATTCATCGACAATGTACTGTTGTGTCAGATTTCAAAAAATAAAATTTAAATTCCTTTTATATTCATCGACAATGTATTGTTGTGTCTTATCTGTAGTGATTTCTATCTTATTTTGAGATGTCTAATTCTAATTAGGAAATATAGAATAAGTCTAGGCGTTATTTGTAAAAAAAAGATTGTAAGACTCTATAGAAGCCAAACTTATGACCGAATTTTTACCAAAGTTTTCATTTCTATATGGTATCAGAGCTTAACTAATAGCCGTCGTCATTGTTGGAATCCGCATGGTGATCGGTGCCAGTAGCGCAACCGGGTGCTTACCTTCCTTTTGCATCGTCATCACAAAGCGACCATAGCTGGGAAGGCAACGAAGGGATCACGACTCACTGGGAAGGCAACGAAGGGATCGTGACTCGCTGGAAAGGCAACGACGAGATCACAACTCGCTGGGAAGGCAACGATGGGGTCGCGACTCACTGGGAAGGCAAAGACTGGGAAGGTGCTGAAGGGACCGCATAGTTCCATGTGTTTGAAGCTCATTTTGGTGTGAAAAGATCTCTCATAAATTTTAATTCAATTTTTTAAACATTTGTAGAGATATGAAACATATTTCAGTAAGAAACATACGACTGAGGTTATACAGGCCCAGGACACTGTAGCCATCATTTTTTTTAAATATTTTTTTCGGAACGTCAAAGCATAATCATTTATTATATATTACATGAGAGCGATGGCGTTATGGTAACTCAAATCTTAATTAACCTAGGCTTTGAGAATTTTATGATGTTGCAAGCGCTAAGGAGGTTGTTTGTTGGGGTGTAGTGCCTTATGCTTTGGGCTAGATGAGTTGATGGTTCATGGATTTTACGAAGAGGGTAGAATAAGATGGGATATTTTTTTCTAGCCCCTAGATTTGGAATGTCTTATATGAAAGTCAAGGTTCATTTGGTCAATGTTGATACTTGTTTGAAGCTCTCTTGGGCCGGCCTTGACTCCATGAATACACTGTGGTTCCGTCAACTCTGCATTAATGTTTCAAATATCTAAAGAATGTATAAGATTTTAGGATCCCAAACTATCTTCAACTCTTCATGATTCATGAAGCACAAATCTATGAAGATGCTAAATATTTTATTCCAAAAGAATCTATGCCACCACGAACTTCTAAAGTTGTGGCATCAATTTTAAAGACAATAAAAAATTCGAAGGAGATGAAAAAATAAAGAAGAAAGCAATGTTGATTCCTCCTAAAACAATTAGTGCTCCATCTGAGTTGAAGAGGGCCACCACACTTGGGAGGTGATACATAAGACGAATATGTCACTCTTATTAAACTCGAGAGATTTTGTGAGCTCTTAGTTAAATAAAAAAAAGTAGGATATTTTAACTTAAAATTATAAGTTTAAATCTACTTATGAAAGTAAAGTTTAGTATATCTTTTTAAGTAAGATGACTAACACATCAATATGATAAACACATTCTTTTTTAAGCGTGATGGGAAGACCCAATACCCAACATAGATTCTCTTTTTGTGAGGAAAATGCCGGAACATTGTCCAAACAACATTGACCTAAAGAGGATAAAACCTAAGAGGGCATGCATGAATGTAAACACGATTAATTCAATGTATAAAATGTAATTTAAGAGCAAAATTTAAACATCCTAAATGTCTTACATGTATTGTTGAACATGAACTAAATTTGAACATGAGCGCTTACAGTTAGCTTGCAATGAACTAAGGATCGCGCACAAGCATAGATAAAACCCGTTGACGCGGAACATGATTACCTCCTAGGATCATGGAAAGGTTCTGTAGTCGGGGAACCACGCCACAGAAGTTCTCACGATCATGAGATGGGTTCGGGCGCGAGTCTCTCCTTGTGAATGTTGGTTTATGGGATTCTCTGCCCCGTTATTAAATTCAACGTAATTCTTTTCCTTTTCTAGCCTTATTTAACATTCATTTCTTTCTAATTAGGTTTATTTCTGCAAGGAAGACTATTTATATGTTTGTTTTTCTGATTTCTTGATTTATGAGTGTTGCATCCTCTTCTGTTTGCAATTGGTGTGTGTGTATATTGCTCTATAATAGGTGGTAGACCCTCCTCGCAGCTCGTACTTTTTCACTTCCCTGTTTGACTGTTGCTTTAACTCTGGACAACTGCCAAACACCCTGAATCTGCTGTTCAATAACAGATTTTGCCTCCTTTTTCCCAATTCCGCCAACTACCCTTATTCTCCTTCTCACATCCTTCTACAACTACCTCTCCACAGAAATCTATTTCTAAACACTTTTTAAGAACCTTAGAACGATACCATTTGACATCAGAGCCCAACAAGCCTCAGATTTTTAGGGGTTTCCTTTTTTGCTCCAAACTAAAATTCCAAATAACATAACCTAACACACCTACGAAAAAATAAAAATAGAAAAAAAGAAAAAAAAACATCTTCCACCTAGCCCCTATTTCAAACCCTAACTTTGAACTATATATCTCTTTCGCCAAAACTTTCATTGGAAGAATGAGACGTCGTGCCAACAAGAAGAAATACGCAAGCAGGTGTTCAGAAGTTTACTATGGAGGACATGCAGTGGGAAATCATCGAACTACTACAAAGGTTTGTTGCTTTTGAGAAGAACAACCCAAAGATGTCACTTGTAACCACAACAATGACTTGTTAGATCGAGAGGACGAAGGGAATCCTTTACACCATACAGTTTCCAATGATAAAGGGCCAATACCTTGACAAATTGACATGAAATATTAGAGATGTGAGGATTTTGGAATAATTTTGAATTTATCAATTTTTTACGGTAGTTCCAAGCAGTGGAATAAATTTTGAGTACAAAGACGTTTACCAGAGTAATGGAGTTAAATTGAAAATCATCAAGCTCGGGAAGAATACTTCCTTGTGGTGGGAGAACTTGAAGATACTTTAACAACGAGAAGAGAAAAATAAAATCACTGCTAGTCTAAGATGAAATGAGATATACAATGCAATTTTCTATCAATTCATTACAAACATGCATGTTTTGAGATTTCCTCACTTGCAACATTAATATATCTCAATAGAGGAGCACACACTCGAGGAGAACACTATAACTCGATATCTGAGGGAATTGAGGTCGTCCATTGGTAATGTAGTACAGCTCCAGCCGTACTAGAGATTGCAAGATGTTCAAAACCTAACCTTGAAGGTGGAGAAACAACATAACAATATCAGGTCCAACCACCTTTCAAATAAAGTTTAATAATTAGATCAAGTAGCAAAAGTACACCCAGTTGAACACTCAAGCCCACCTAGACAGCAGAGGAACCGTCCAATGTGGATAAAAGGTGTAGACTGTTAGTACTCCTAAATTCATCACTGCTACTAAATGCTTCAAGTGTCATGATTTTGTATACGTGCTATTTTATTGCTCAAACGAGAGGGCAATTTCTTTCACTGAGAAGAAAATATTTGAGGAAATGGACAGTAACATGAGAGAATTAAGATGTCGAGGAGTCTTAATCTTTAGCCGACGAGGAAGAGATACTAGTGATTTAATCTAGAGCCCAATTATGAGATCACAATAGGATTAAAATTGATTGTCCTAAAAGATAGTGAGTCAGAAGAGCCAATACCTGAACAGGGACAACCCTCGTTGAGTAAGTTGCTAGATATCATGATTGGTCGTTTATCTTCCGAGTGGTTACCCTTGAGTGTGGTTCAATTTGCCATATATTTCATTTCAGGATCGGTTTCTCCAAACAGATTTATTTTTACATGCACCAAGCTTAGTTTGAAGAGTGGGAGAAACAAGTTATTGATTTAGGGTCTGTTTGGGGCAGCTGCAGCTTATCCAGCTTATGCTGATAAGCAGTGTATCCTGATAAGCTGCTGATCTGCAGTTGATTTGGATAAGCTGGTTGGTTGTTTGGTTTGTGCGTTTAGAAAACAGCTGATTCTGGATAAATGACCATTCTGCCCCTATTTTGGAAAAACTGTTTAGTTGAACCCTCATAACATTAGCAATGCCGCAAACATTATCATACAATTCATATTAAGATAAGTAGCATAAAATCTTAGGTTTGCATACACACAATCCAATTTCTATGTGTAAAAATAACAAGAGAATGAAGTAATCAGTAAATAATAAAATAATGAAGTAAATTACGTGGATTATTGCTAATTTAAATTAATTGCAAAAAGCTTTCATACCAGAAAACAAGCAAATAAAAAAAAAATCAAAGATAGGATGTCACCAATTTGCCTGAAATACAAAAGAGCTGTAGTTGACCATAAGTATAAGGCATTTCTTGAGACTACTCAA